GATCCTTATAATAAATCAGTGGAACTATTCAATGGTACTATTCAAAAATAATTCTTTTTCTAAGTGTTCTCATTATTATTAATTAGCACCGCTGACTGCAAGAGTAAGACGAGCTGCTCCAAGCTGCTCGGTCCGACGCCATCGCTAATAGTAATAGAAGCCATTCCTCTTCCCATCGTCCAAGTCCATATATCTCTGATCCCCCAATATGTTCAAAATCCTGGCTGTATCATTCCAGGTCTTGACTGGCCCACCTCGTTACATCAACCATCACAGAATTTAGCAAGTAAGGAAATATGCGTCAATTCCTGTGGTGGACGATGGAGAACACGCTCTAACTAACAAAGGCGGCGCTTTGTGATATTTATTAATACTGGTGGTACTCTAGAAAAAATAGAAATAATCATGTGCAATTTTATCCGCTCGACGGATTCGTAAAATGTATCATGAGTGGTCAAAAGCTGATAGCTTCTTAATATCTTCCCACTCTCATTGGCCATGTTTCGCAGCCATATAGCAAGATCGAGCTATATGGACGCTGATTTTCTGTATGATTTTCATGGCGGCTCCACAAAGGTTTATCAACCAGAAAAATATACTTCTGGATGTCGTTGTCCGGGTTATAATTTCACCCTTTGTCTGGAGTGGATCCAAGATATTTAAAATTAGGCACTTTCTTAACAGACAATGAGTTGTGAAAAATAAGTATTTTATAAACATCTTGTATATAAAAAGAAAACTTTCATTTTATTTACATTGATTTTGAGTCCAATTTTTTCGCTGCATTTGTTGACACATTATTTGACATTATTGGCATTTCCTTATAAATATCAGAAAAAAGAACTACATCATCAGTATTCAAGGTCTGTAATAGTATACTCTGGACTGATTTGCACACCTCTTGAGTACCGACAAGCGATGCCCATTATCCAGTCATAGTAGAATACTACTGAAACGAGGCAGCCTTGACGGACACCAGTATTTATTTCGAAGGGATCTGTCAGTTCCACATATACGCAGACGCCAGAGTATGCTAATAAAATGCCTTTATGAGCCGAATGATCTTCTCTGGATACCGTCGCATTCCGTCACATCCCAGAGGGCTACTCTATCATCGAATCGAAGGCAGCTGCAAAATTGATGAAGCAAGTGACGGTTGGTTGCTGGTATTTGAAGCGACCCTTCTTAGTATAAATATCTGTTTACCTGTATATATCTGTATCCCGGTTTGAATCCATCATGGCTAGGATAGGACGCATTGTGCTATCTCGTGTTGCCATGAGTCTATGTAGCAGAAGAGAAACGAAAGTTTTTCTAGAAATGAAATGTAGTAGGCTTTGATAATTCTTTAATAATTGTCATGCCCAGTCACCTTTCTTAGGAATTGGAAGAAGAATTGCTTTGCCCTAGTCTTCTGGTATTATTTCTTTTTGCCTTACCAGAGAATATTTGAAGGTGAATGATGATGGACAACATTTGAAGAGTTCGTCTCGAAGACCATCTTCTCCGGGAGTTTTATTGGTCTTAAGCTTATGGATTATAGAAATTTTTATTGGCGGTTCGCAGTTGTAAATATATCCTCGACGAGCGATTCCATGACAACCGATCGTGCATCATAGTTAAGTTCGACCTCAAAGAATTCATTCCATCTTATAAGGCGATCTTTAATAGCCTTAATGCTCACACCATTGCCATCTCGTATCATTTCAGTAACCTTTATCCGAGTTATAATTGCTTTGAGGGAGAAATTGTTTCCTATTATCGCGTAACAGAGCCGCCGTCTCCATTATCAAGGCCACATCGCTTCAATAGTGATTTCTGTCCCGCCGTGCTACTGTCGTAATTCTTCCTGATATTCAGGCTTTGACAGTTGGACAGTTACTTCCGACGTCTAACTAGTGCACTTCCTACCAGTATACCCTAGTGTGGAAGTGGCTGACTTTTGTAGGCATATCTTTAGCTAGGACTAGTATTATTTCGCCTTTCCAGAGATGTCATTGATGTTCATTTTACTGAGTTGTTTCAATACGGTTTGAAATGTGCTTCCAGATCTTTTGAGATAGTTGAAAGATTTTTATTCAAAACTCATAATAGTAAAAAATAAACAATTTCATTTTAAGTAATAAATATATATGTTTTCGAGCTATTTTAAAATTTAAAATATAATTGCATTAAAAAAAATAATTTTTTATATTAATTTTTTCTTAAAAATGAAAAAATTATAAATAATTAGTATTAATAAATGAAAAATTTTCTTAAAAAATTTTAACAAATTTTAATAAAAAAAGAATGGATGAAATAAAAGAATTTCTTTTCCCTTTATTATATATTAAAATCGAATTGATTAGTTTATGTTTTCTTAAAACAAATCCATGTTGAACGAGGAAAGTAAGGAAACAAATGGCATAGAACCTAAAATTATCTCTCAATTTTTAAAACTCTTTAAACCTTTTAATGAGCTTTTTTTTCGCTCATTTATTTAAAATGGTTAATTAACTCGAGAAATGTTTTTTCGTGAAATATTTTTTGAAATATTTTTCAGCTCGATAGTTATTAATTTTCGGGTATGTTTGACGATATTCTAATCGAAGAAGGATTTGAACTTCGCAACAACTAGTTTATCCTTAAAATAAACTCTAATGAAGCAAAAAATTTAAAAAGACGATAATAATAGCGAAGAAGATAATATTTATTTAAAATTATTTTAGCATAAAATTAGTTGCTATAAATTTAAAAATAAAAAAAATAGAATTTTTTTTCTATATTAAAATATTAAAATGAAAAACAATAAAAATGAAACTATGAAATAATAAAAATGTAATATTTGCTGAGAAATGAAAATTGTTTGAACAAATGAAAGACGATAACCGAGAGAAAATTGCAAACAAACGAGTGTTCGTTAAGCTTGCATGTTGATGAACGATCGTTAAATGCTTCGTAATCATTTATCATTTTTTGATGAACGAACCAAAATAAAAAACCTTTAATGATCGAAATTCTGTGCTTATAAATTCATGATTAATCAATTTTATTTTAATTGTTATGATTAATTTATTTGTCAATTGCATCAATTTTTAATTTATAAGAAGATTAAATAATTCTTTTCAACTTTTATGATTTTCTGTAAATATATAAAATTTTATGGAATTAATTAGTTTAGTGCTTACTGAAAATAGAGATTAACTACGAATCTTCTTTTTCAAAATTCAATTTGCATAAAATTTTAGCTTATTTAAAGACAAATTTATTTATTTATTGAAAACCAGTCAAGAAAAATTTATCATCAAATAAAGATTTAATATGGAAAATATAAGAATGGAAAAGAAAAGGTTAAAAATGCTATACATAGTGTTTTCAATTTCAATCATTTATGATTTACTGTGAACTATAAACAAATCAAATTGACTTCAAACTGTTTAACTTACTTTGCATCAAATAATAATGGGAACACACGAGTAACTTCAACTATCCTTCAAATGGTCATCTGGCGAGATTCTAATTCTAATTCTAACAGCCAAAGAAATTAGTGAAAGCAAAAATGATGAATGCAACTGTAAGAAGAAGCCTTTACAATCCTTTATAATTTTCATATTATTCATTTATAGAAATCTTTCTTTTTAAATTTGACGAAAAAATAGAAAAAAAAAGAAAAAATTTAAAAAGGAATTATATAAGTGAGCTGCCTCTAGATATATTTTTTAATGAATAATATATTAATAATAATAATAATTAATTATTTCATTTGCGATAGGTTTTAGTCATTTATAGATCATTTATAGATTTATTAGATAAAATAGAAGAAAATTCATAGATTTGCAAATCAAAATATGATAAATGATAACATGTATTGTAAGTAATTTTTACAAAATCGTTAAATTCGGCATTTCGGCAATATTATTATTATCACTCGAAAATGTGTCATCTATTGGGGAATAATTTAGAAAAATAACGACAATTTTTAAAGGTTATTTCTAATTTAACTTAGAAAATGAATTTTTCTAAAAGCATTAATAGCAATAATTTTTCTAATAAGTAACTAAAACAATTTCTCATTGCCGCTTTCCCATTATTATTTTTTCAATAAGAGAAAAATATTTATATGAAAGTAAATACTTAGTAAAAAAAAAGTGAATTTTTTCTTCTTATAAATCTAATGGATTATTGAATTATCGAATTTTCATTTGCTCAATTTGTTTAATATATAATATTTTAGTTAAAAAATATCAAATCCTCGATTTTTTTATTCTTTTGACATAATTTGAGAAAAAATCGATCAGATAAGATTCAGATGAGTCTTTCATATCGTTTTTGTTGACCATTTTGATAAATTGGTGGTCGATATTGAAGAGGATTGAATGGTTTTGGCGTAGGTAGTGGTAGTGGTGCTCGTCGAGGTTTCTTAAAATATCTTTGAATCAGTCGAGAGTTACAATATTAAAAATTAATTATTAATTAAAAAAGGAATAATAACAGTATTGATAACATCAATAATAATATTAACAGCAATAATAATAGAGAATTTTACAGAAGTTACAAAGAAGTTTTACCTCATTGCTATCTTCAGTGGAGCTCGTTCCAGGTTGTTCGCTTTCACTGCTTAAATTTCTAAAAGAAATTGCCTTATTTTAAAGAAAACAGTAACTATCGAAAATCTTGCAGGATTAATAGAAAAGATAAAAATAATAAAAAATTCCAAAGAGATTTAAATTTACAGATGAAAAAAATTAAATTCTTAATAATGCTTTGAAAGAATGTTGATTTAAACTTTGCAAAAAAATCAGTACCAGCAATCGCTTCAATCGCTTATAATCACTTGTTATTTAAGGTGAAAAATAGGAAAAATTGAAAAATATGAATAACTGAGGATATAAGTATTGCAATGATAATTTGTGGATTGTGCGGATGTATTGCATAGAACTAACGCCAATGAGAGGACATTTCTTTATTTCAAATGGAAGAATCTAAAATGCCAAGGGATCCGGGTTCAGATGGATTCGGGTTCAGATGAACTCCGGTTCAGATGGATTCGGATTCAGATGGGCATGAGATCAGATTTTTAAACTACAGTTGCAATTAATGCTTTCTATTTTGACAAGAATTTTGCATTCTCATGTGTCAAATTCATTGAAAAAAATTCTAACTTTAAAGAATATTGGCGTCGTTTATTAAATGCAAATGATCGCCTATCATTTCTGAAAAGAATTTGAATTAATAAGAAATGTCTCATATGAAAGAGATAAAAATATGGATTCATGCATGCCTCTTTTGAAAGAGATAAAAATATGGATTCATGCATGTCTCATACGAAAGAGATAAAATGTGGATTCATGCATGTCGCATAGGAAAGAGAAAGCTCTAATAGATGAAATGACAATAGCATCCGCAAATGACAACGGATTTGAAGTAAATATAATTTTTTTGAGATTCATAGAACAACAAATCAAGGAAAAAGTAAAAAGTGAATGATATTCATTTCATAAAATTAAAACTTCGGGCCAAGAAACAAGAAAATTGCAGCATTTTGCAAGTTATATGAATGAATGTATTTTCTAGTATTTTGCATATTTCCCCTCTTCGCTGTTTTTGTTATAATGACGATAGAAATAATAATAATGTAGGAAAATTACATAGGCTGTTGGTCCTCGTTATGCATAATTTTCGGACAAACAGCGCGATACACCCAAACACGCACTCCACCTCTATAAAAAAAAATATGAAAAAATTTAGAAAATATCAAATTTTTTAAAGAAACTTATATAAAAAATTTATAAATTTGTTTTTAAAAAAATTGAATATTAATAAAATAATATCTTTTAAATATTAATAAACCTTTATTTGAATTTAAATTTGATTTTCTGATTATTATTCATTAAAATGGTTCATTAAATAATTATTCGTCTAATTATTTTTTATGTGAATAATTTTTGATTTTTTATGATATTTTAAATAATCATAGAACGGCAAATACAATTTTATAATAAATAAAGTTGTTTATAAAGTTAAAATTTAATAAAAAAAAACCCAACTGTTCAGTTCGAATATTTGATACGAAATCATATTCGATACCTTCGTTTGCATATCGATCTTTCTCTTCAACTTCACCGCCGGTGTAATATGATCCTAGTGATACCAAATCCGTCCCGACATACACTTTTTTAGTTATATCAATCGAACAGCAACGAAGGAGTACGCTTCAATGCAGCAAATTAAAATTTTGAAATAAACGCGTTTTATTTATTTCTCTTTAATCTCCCTATAACCGAGTGATTTAATAACTGTAATTAGATCACTGGAAGATAGAATGGCGAATTAGAGGAAAAATAGTTAAGTGGATAGTGGCTCAGATTAGAATATTTTGTTTCTGCTCGTAAGCCTATCACTGAAAATTGCACGCGGCGATCTGCCTCTAATTTCTTTGAAAAATTTCTAACATCTAGCAGAACGCTCAACCAGAATTAGTAAGCTATTCAATTATTCAATTACATAATTACTTGATTACTTAGAATGCTCAAGTAAAGCGCGCTCGATTAAAGGTAAAGGAAGTCATTTTAGGTTCCATGTCTTCATCGATTAGTAAACTGGTAGTCTTCAAAATTCGAATGATACTATCCCTAGTAAGCATTGGAATTACCAAATGGAAAAGAAGATTTAATTCACTTAAATACGAAAAAAATGGATTTTTTTTTTGAAATATTTGATTGATTGTTTCATATTTTTCTTTCCGTAACTCTTTTCCAAACCGAAAATTTTTGTTACGATATTTTTATTTTTACCTTTGTCCATTTGATGCCCATTTCATACCGGAAAATGTATGACTATCGGCTCTACAACTTGTCTGATTTTGCCAACATTGCTTTCCAGCAGCACCGCATGGAAGTTTATTACATTCAGCTTCAATTGCACCATCTTCATAGACTGTCAATTTTGTGATTACCTATTATTATTTCTTATTATTATGATTCAGATGATTCAAATGTATTGAGAGATAAGAGCTCAGCTCAGTTTTTATTCACATCCCCCACCTCTTCGTTTCTCCTTCCCCTCACCCCCCCCCCCACCTCTCTTAGATATATTTGAAAAAAATTTCAAAGCTATGAACTCATCCACCTATCGCTAAATGACTCGGCGACAAATATTACTTTATCGATGTACCATATTATATAAAAAATAATATATTGCTATATAATTATCCATTTTTACAACAATTAATTGACATATTTATTATTTTAATTTTTTCTATAATTGTCAATTTTAAAAAGTGAAAATAAATTTTTTTAAAAAATTAAAGAAATCAACCAAATTTTTTGCCATATATTTTATATAATTTATATTTATATTTTTGATAAATATAAATTATAAATTTTTTAGTAGTAAAGAATTTCAAGAATTTAAAAATTTATATTACAATTTGCTTATTTTTATTATTTTCATTATATAAAAAATATCGACCACAGTAAAGATCACATTTTTTTACGTAAAACCTTTCATTTGATTCTTCAGAATTTTTCGAATTTTTGAAAATATTAACTCATTTACTATTTATCACCAAAAAAGTTGAATTTGTTTTCTTCTTTTATCATATCAGCAAATTTGTGTTTCTATTAAGCAAATTTGGATAAAGAAAGCGTTTTAATGATAAGCGCCAATATTTAATGATAAACCTGATTCGGTGAGCATTTGGTTCCTTGAATAGATTGCAATTGAGCATAAATAGAATTGATAAGAATTAACGAATAAAATATAAAATTCAGCGACATCATCACGTTTTCGACTGATTTAAATTTGAAATCACTAAATAAAATTACGATGCGAGTGGATGGTTATTTTAATCGATGAAGGTCAAAAACCTTTGACAAATTTTGCTGACCTGAATTTAAAATTTCTTATATCATTTAAAATCTAAAATTAATAGTAAAAAAAATGAACTTTTTTTTTCGTCAATAAATCTTTTAGTATTTATTTATATGATTTATTCAATTAAAAAATAATAAATTATTCATTTGCATATTGCTAAAATTTAAATTTCTGAAATAATTTTTTAAAAAAATTTCAAAATCGGCCAATTCAATGGGCTTTCTTCATTCATTATTTTCACTTTAGCAATAATAACTTCATTCGAAAAACTACAAAAATTTTAAATAATAGTGCTACGAAAATTGTATGTATAGAAAGCATGTCGTGTTGTAATGCAGAAATCGTGTTGTAATGCAGAAATGCATCTTAGATAAGTATAAATTTTTCATGTATTACGATAAAGGATAATTTCCATGAATAATAATTTATTCTCTTAAAATTTGAGGATTAATCCAGAATTAAAGCGATAAAAATTTTTGATTTCTCAATAATTTATTAATATTTTTTTTAAAATTAAGAATTGCCTATCTCTATTTTTCGATTAAAAAAATTATAATCGATTTGCAAAAGGAAAGTAATGAATTCTATCCATACAGGGGATAGAATGGATCAGTGGGTTGTTGCTCAATTGGGAGCGCCGATGCTGAGGTTCGATTCTCTAAACCTGAACAAAAATCCAGGTGATGCTGGCGACTCACGTGTATTTCTATCACCAAAGGACTCCTTGGCGCATTGCTCAATTGCGACAAGCCAGTGGAGCAAGTTTAACCAGTAATGGTGAGGGCTCTTTTAAAAAAAATCCAAAATTGGCTAAAATCATAACACTGTTAAAGTTAAAATGAATTAAAGATGTCGAAAGCTATGCGTAAATTGATGTTTTTCCTCGTAGCAGCACCAATTATTGAAATAAGCAATATCCGCGCTATTTGCTAGGATCTCTTATAGATGGTGCGAGGAGAACTGAAACCTCAGCTTCTCAGTTGCATTAGTTCCTTTTTGTTTATTTCATTTTTCTAAAATTTTCATATTTGTTCGTTATATTTGCTATTTAATGAATTGTATAAATAAAATTATGAAATATGCAAAATAAAAATAAAAACAGAAAAAGAAAATAAAATAAAATTTATAAAAATATTTAGAAAAATAAAAAATATATAATGAATTAAATAAATAAATTAATATATAAATACAAAAAAATTTTCATGAAGCAAATTTTAAAAAGCATTTACTTATTTACTTTTGCATTTAATCTATTAAAACAAATATTTTCAATTGATTTAAAGCATGATTTTAATAGATTATTTCAAACAGAATGATATCGAATTTTTCCAGCTATCGCATAGTTCACCGTGTCGGTTAGCCGAACTTTATCCGAATTTGTCCGAAGTTACCCGAAAAATTACATTCATTTAAAAAAGTTCAAATTTTTTTCTTTTTTTTTAATGTTTCTTTTATTTATTATTATTATTAGTATTCACTAATTTTACTTGTGTCCATATTTTTTAATGTCGAAAATTTATTTATTTTCTAATTTATTTATATATTTATTTATTTTATTTAAATTCTTAAAATTTATTGTATAAAATAATTTTATATAATTTTTTACGATTTTATTTAAATTTCTAAAATAAATTATATAAAATAAATTGCTTTTGATAAATTTTTATAGATATTTACAATGGAATCTGATTTGAAAGATTGTGTGCTTTCATCAGATGATAACGATGGTGATGAGGGAAAAATTGATGAAAGTGATTGTGGCAGAGTGCTAACTGGTGATGGTGGAGATAATATGGTACGAATTGATAGAATCGTTTTGCATTCTTCTTTTTCTAATATTTTATGATTATTTAGTCTATCGAAATCAGTTTTCAGTTTAGTTTTTAAGATATGAGACGAATTCGATTATGGCATATTTTTTTTCTTTTTTTATTTTTATTATTTATTGTTGCTTATATTTTATTGCGTATATGTATATAAATGTTTTTTTATCGGATGGCGCGGATGGTAGAAGCGACGAATCTGATGAAGAATCTGATTCGGAAATTGAAGGAGCTGAATTGAATATAAACATAGCTGCTAATCACAGCTCGCTCGACGTAATTTTTTATTTTGCGAATAACGTCGAATGGTAATTTATTTTTTTGTCTTTTTGATCTCATTTTTCTTACAGAATTCGGGTTATAATGAAAAAGTGTCATTTGCTTCATTGGGTTTGGGACAGTGGTTATGTAAACAATTGAAGGAATTATCAATTAAGCATCCAACGCCAGTTCAGGTTTAGTTATGTATATTCAACCAATATTTTTGAAAATGGTGAATTCACAATGAATATATAAAATGATATCTAAATAAATTTAACGATTCGTTCTTCACACCTATATATCTTTATATATAAATTTAAGGCTAATTGCATTCCTCAGATTTTATCGGGATTGGATGTTTTGGGGTGTGCGAAAACTGGTACTGGCAAAACTTTGGCTTTTGCTCTACCAATTTTGCAGCAGGTTATTTTTACTATACAAAATATTTTCGTACTTTTATATCTTTATTTTAGCTTAATTTCTCGCATTTTACAGAAATGCGGAATGGCGGAACAAAAATTATGTTTGTAGAAGAATATTGTGGTTTAAAAAATTTTTATTATTTCAATAATATGATTTTTAGCTTGCTGTTGATCCTTATGGAATCTTTGCTTTATTATTGACCCCAACTCGAGAATTGGCATTTCAAATCGCTGAACAATTTGTTGCTCTGGGTGCTCCTATCAACTGTAAAATAGCAATTATTGTTGGAGGAAGAGACCAAGTTGCTCAAGCACAAGATTTAATTAAGTACTTTTTGATCAGTAATCATTTTATTTTTTTAAGATGGAGGTAATTTCTTCTATCAGCTTCCTTATTCTTCAAAATAATTGATCATTTCAGGCGTCCACATATCGTTGTTTCAACTCCTGGACGTCTTGCTGATCATATCAATAGCGATACTGAAGGAATAGCTAAATTATTCAAAAAAATTCAGTTTCTTGTTCTAGACGAAGCAGATCGTCTTTTAGATGGGCAATATTCTGTAGAGGTGCGCTTCAGTATTATTATTTTTATCATTTTTGGATGCAGTAGAATAAGTGGTTATTTTATATTTCAAAAAATAGAAAAATTCTTCGTTTTATTTGTAGTTTCATTTTTCTTCTTGGTAGCATTTCATAGAAATGGTCTCATTAATAAGAGTAAGTTTGTAAATTTAGATTAAATTTGATGTTTAAATCCTATCCATCTGTGCTTTTAAATATTTTGTGCCTTTCTTATTGTGGTTTTAATTATATCGTGCACCTTTACGATATACTTTTATTTGATTTTTTATTCGTATATTAATTTATTTATTTAAAAAATTGTTAATTAGATCGCAGATTTTATGGAAAATTAATTTTTGATTAGTTCCTTTCTTCCAGCTAAAGACAATTTTATCTTCATTGCCTAGAAAGCGGCAGACTCTTTTGTTCAGTGCAACAATCACTTCGGCACTTAGTCAATTGCATCAGGTTTTAAATTTTTCAGTGAATTTTTAATTTTTTGGCAATATTAACTATATGATGCAATGAAAAATCATATTGTAGGTTTCGGTGAAAAAACCATATTTCTTTGAAGATAAAAGCGAGATAGCAACAGTGGAAAAACTCGATCAAAAATATGTACTTTGTCCCCAAGCGGTGAAAGATGCTTATCTTGTGTATGTCGTTAAAAATTTTTATGAAAATCGGCCTGAAAGTTCTATTCTTATATTTTCACAAACATGTCGAGAATGTCAAGCTCTAGCAATTATGTTTAATGGCCTTGGTTTTCAGGTAGCAATTTATATTTTTTCTGACAAATTCTTAATTTTCTTTTGATAAATCCGCTCGTTAAGTTATATAAATTTTTTATTTTATTCCAGTTATTTTAATAGTGATTTATTTTCTAGTGAACTTATTTTGAGAAGTCGAGCCTGACAGTCCTAGTTTATTATAAAATTGTTTTGAAAATTATTGATGAAAATTAAATTCTCTCAGGTGGGATCTCTTCATTCACAAATATCTCAAAAAGATCGATTATCGTCGCTCACTCGATTTCGATCGCGCAGAATTCGCATCCTGATTTGTACGGACGTTGCAGCAAGGGGACTTGATATACCACGTGTATGTAATTTTTTCATATTTCTCCATTAATGTCATTTTTTTTTGGTAATAATGTGATAGCTAAGTAATGAATGACTTTTTCATTTCATATATTTTCACTATTTTATATATTTTTACTTTTTATTTTATCACATTTACCACATAATTTCTTGGCATTTGCAGATATTTCTTAATATTTCTTAATATTTTCACGAAATGCAAAATAAAATAGTAAAATAATTATACTATTCCCATAGACAAGAAAATAGATGTTAGATTAGATTACCGAGGAACTCACTGTAGTCTTTACAAGCAACAACGCTTTTCAATTTGAAGCTTTGAAAATAACCTTTTGATTGGGTTCTGGGCAATAAGGACAAAAAAGCGTGGAATATCCTCTTATGATTCGACATCTATTCATATTTCCACTTTTTTTCAATCTTTTTTCCGGGAAATGGACTTAATCTTTTCCAGTTAGATATCAAAGATACCTTTATTCTTAGCTCGGTTTTTTATTTATCGCTTTCTCATTTTTTATTTCTCATTCTTTCTCATTCTTCATTCTTGAGTCACCAGTCACTGCAACTCTTATAATTTATAACTTATAATTCTTCCTATTTTCTGTATTTTATAATATAAAATTCTTAACCAAAGCAAAATAAGATGGAATTGAAATATATTCTTCTAACAAATCGCTTAATTTAAGTCTTCCAATCTTCTTAATCTTTGCGAACTTCCAAAATTGTTCATAAATATTGCAGCACTTTGTTGTATATTGTTTTATGGAAATATTTGTGAATTAATTTATAAAAACTAAGGAATTGTGTAACCGATCTTACGAAAAATTTTTGAATGTTCCATGACAGGTCGACCTGGTTGTGAATCACAATGTTCCTCGTCTTCCAAAAACATACGTCCATCGTGTTGGTCGATCTGCTCGAGCAGGTCGTTTCGGTGGAGCGATCACATTTGTTACTCAATATGATATTGTTTTGCTGCAAGAGGTTGAGAAACTCGTTGGGAAAAAATTGGAAAAATTGAATGTAAACGATAAAAAAGTGATTTTTGAACTTCTTTATTGAATAATAATTTCGCTATTAGCTTTTTAACGTAAATAATCATTTAATTATGTAACCCGTACAAAATTCTGGTTTAGTTTTCATTATGAAAAAAAACTTTTAATTTTCCATTGATTTTACTTCTAGGTGACGCAATATGTAACACAGGTGTTGGTTACGAAACGAGAAGCAGAAATAAAATTGGATAAACAGAATTTTGGAGAAAAGAAAGCAATAAACAAACGAAAGGAATTAATTCTTTGTGGATTAGATCCAGATGAAGTTGAAAAAGAAATCAAAGCCCAGCGTGAAAAACGGTATGTGTTATCGTGCTGGATCTTTATATTTATGCCTTAATGCATACACAAATTTTCTTTGTCATCTCATTTTTAAGAAAATCCAGGAAAAGAAAAATGAAACAAAGGAAAGAAGCGACCGAAGCGAAGAAAATCCATCCGCAAAGTGAATATCAAATGCAATTGTCATGATTCAAGAAGTTTTAACATTATATATATATTTAAATATATTTATTATATAAATATATATTGAGAATCAAATGTGCTAAACGGAGAATTATTCATGGAAAATTTTATCTTTTGACATTTAATTACAAAGGTTTAAAATTAAACCAGTAGAAAATTTAAAAAATTAAAAAAATCAACTATAAAGTTGAATCTCGCGTCGAAATTGCCCATTCCATTTTGACGTCATAATCAGGAACTTCAACTTGGAAATCATTTGATGTTCGCTAAAAGATTTATACATCAAAATCAAGTTCTCATTATTCGAATTTGAGGTCAAGAAAAGTGAAAATAAGATAACAGAAGGTCACCGTGGTTGCATATGATGCAATTTGGAGTAACTGCGATGCAACTGGACAGGAAACCATAATAGCGGAATTTTTCATCGAATCAACTGCTCGTCTGAGTTCAACAGGGGAACTAAAAGCAGAATGTTTGTTTATTGACCCAAAAATCTTTTGGGCTGGAAAATTATAAAGTGAAGAACGCGTTTCCTTCTTTTTCCTTTTTTCCCTCAGTGATAATAAGTAGTTCTTATAGTTTTTTACAATTTTTTTACAATTACTTTTATATCTAAATATCTCTAAAAAAAAAAATGTGTAAAAATTTATAAATTTATTCATAAATTTTCATAAATAAATTCATGGCACAAAAATTAAAAAAATAAAAACTTTAAGATTTAATATGAAGATTGTGAAGCGTACCTCAGGCAAAAGAAAATGTAATTCCAGATTGCATCATTAGGAAATTCATGGTCCCTATCTGAAAGAAATTTAAATATTTACAATCGTCAATTACCATATCAATCAAAAAGAAAAGAATTGAAATCACCTATCTGGCTATGCAACCAGTCCGCTAGCCTCGCCCAAGCCAGTGGAATTGCCTTAATATTATTAAGTCCGCTGTTAAGTGAACAAAACAATAGTAATTGCTGAAGCATTTCGTATCTACGTTCTTGCAACAATTTGTAAAGCAATGCAACAACCACTGTAGTGTCAGCAATTTGATAATCAATAACAAGCGATGAAGCGAAATTAATGAGCTGGAAATGAAATTTAAGCTATGGATATATTAATATAAAAAAAAGGATTTTAATCAGGTTCTTACGCGAAAAATTTGAATGCTTCATAATAAGAAAATGCAAAACCTTTGAGGGCGGCGAATTTGGTAGCAGAGATTTCAATAAAATACCTTTGTCCATAGCCTTGAAAGTCTCCAAAGACAGATCCACTTTTGAGGCTTCTATCAAATCGGCATAAAGCAACAGTTCCAAATTTGAACTTAAAAATATATAAGTCAGATATATAATTTTTAATATAATGTTACCATAATCAATCTAACCACACAGTTTGCAGATTTCCACCGACAATATCTTCGAGTTCTTGAGCAGAAAGCAAACGCAAAAGGCAGCACAAGCAGCGTACTTTCGTACTATAGGAAACATTTGGCGAATTCTAAAAACAATCTTGAATATCCTTGAAATGGGATTAAATAAGGTGAAGAAATGCTACCATAATTAGTTTAACCACACAGTAAAAAAGTAAATAATAATAAGAGAAGAAGAGAAGCCAGATTAATGAGATTCATTTTTCTATCTTTCATAAGTAAAGTGAGTATGATCATGTCAAATGTGCAAAATTCTAACTTGTTTTAACAAATAAGCTAAAGTATAGATTGATTGTTTAGTTTCTCTCATCCTTGAAAGTTCAACAATTCTGAAAAAATATTATATCATATAAAAAAGGATAAGAAAGTGAAAATTCACAGTATTCTGCCCTTATATATTTCAGAAATATTTTTTTGCAATTATGGCAAGGAAAACCAAACATGAAAAAAAAATGAAAAGCAAAATACCTCGAGGTAAACTCGTCTAAAAATGGTAGTGAGCATAACGCATAATTATTTTCAAGAGTGGTTTTTCCTGAGATAGGCACAACATCACCAATTGTCTAAAAAAATATACAATTGGATAATAGTAAATTTGAATCTTACGAATTTTATGAAAAAAATTACATCATTTGGATCAAATATATTTTTGACGCATTCACCACTCAGCCATTCGTTAATAAGCTTATTTTGAAGCATTGGAAGATTAAAACCGTAAATAGCAGCCAAATTTTCAATTAAGGATACTTTGCTACCTGAAATATTTTGTAGAAAATGATTTGAATTATCACAGCAAATAATATTCTATGATAAACATGCTGTATGAAAATATTTTATAACATCCTCAAATAATAGAAGATAATAGAATACTCAGATAAAACAGTGATTTCTAATTCAAAATATGCCTTCCTAATCCTCAATCAAATTTTATGAATCGAAATCGTATCGGTCTTTCACTGTTTGCTCTGTTTCACTCAATATCTGCGACATTCCAATGGTTGTAGCTGAACCTATGAAGATAAAGGATCTCGAAATCTATACTCAAAAATCACATAAAACAGGATAAATAGCCGTTGTTGGAAAAATGATAAGTAAACAGATCCAGAATGTCATCCATTCATATTTTTTGATCATATTTGTAGACGAAAAGATCATTTACTTTACTGCCCATTTTGAATAAATGTGAAATAAAGAAAGAAGAGCTAATGATTTCTTTATGTACCAATGCAGAAAACCATAAAATCATTTTTCTACTAGCAGTATCGTGATGATCATGGGATCATCTAATCCTTCTTCTCTAAAAGGATGTGCATACTCATAATTTTTATCCAAGGGTAAATTAATTATCCTCTCCATATATCTTTTTCAATAATCAAAAATTAAAGAATCTTTGCAAACGAATATTATTGAATATCTCATTACTAATGGGAAAACAGATAAAACGTCCGCATCAATTAAAAACCTTAAAAAAATGATATTTTGAAATATCATAAACATTTAAAGGTAATAAAAATTACCTCGATCATTAACATCATTCCAGTTAATGCGATTGCAGTATATATATCGAATCAATTCCTCCGGATTAGAAAGCAAATTAGCGGTATCTTGATCAAGAAAATTAAACTTCTGTAAAAGAAGTTCCGCACGATATTTTTGAGAAGCAGGTTTCATTGCTGTCAAATAACGTTCAATATAGGCAATTTCATCATTTGTAACTGGCTATAAAATGAATCAATTTAAATTTAAAATTTAAAATTAAAATCTAAAATTTAAAATTTGAAATTTAAAGTTTAATCGATATCTATATAGCTATATAGCTATCCCGGTGAAACGGAAAAAAAATTACCGCAGCGAAACTTTAGTTCGCCATTATAAATTTATAGATTCCAAAAAATTTTACTTCATTGTACCATGTGGAAAAAACTCAAATCAGATGTGCCACGAGAAGCGGAGTGAGGAGGATTTTGCGACGAAGAGAATAAAATAAAAGTAATATAAAAGGAAGTAAAAGAATTCAAAGGGATAAAGAGACGTGAAAAAATTTTTAGACAATTTTGTAAAGTTTTTATACATATATTTAACCCAAACTATCATATCAATTTTTTAATTTAACAAAAAAAATTCTATGCGAGGAAATTTTTCTGTCAAATAGGCCCCTTTTTACAAGTGCTTTACTGGTACGCACTTATAAATTTTTTACTGCTGTATCTAAAAAATTAGAAAAAAGTAGAACCTTTGATAGATCAGTTGATGTTGCGGAAAGCCATTTTTCAGCCACATTTATTGCAACCAACAAAAAACGAATTTTTGTTTCACCTATCAATCGATTAGATGTTACAGGCAATTTTAATAAAATACTGTAAAAAAGAAAATAAAACAAAAAACTCACAAAGAGGAAGGCTTTTGAAACCAAGCATAATTGCTTTTATTGTACCGATGCGATTTCCAGTACTAAAAATCAAATCTGCTATCGTATTGAGCTCATCAGTTCCAATATCTGTACCATTGTTGATATGAGCTAGCATTGCTAGCATTATTGCGTTCGATAGCAAACAAGATTTGGACAACTTCAATTCTGGCATAGTTCGAGCAAAATATTGCCATAACTGAAGAAAAAAAAAACACGTTAGAAGAAATGAGGCCGATAATTTTCAAAAATATCGGGCCAAAAAAAAAAATAAAATGGAAGACTAAAAATGAATAAATTTGAAAAAAATTTACTTTTACATTATATAACGTCAATTCACAGTTTATAATAGGAAGAAGAACGCTTTTTATATCTTTTTCATCATCAAAAAGAAATATATGAAATGGAAGACGAATATTTGCATTTAATGGTAATTGCAATGCTATAAGCTGAGGTTTTTCGTATATACTGTCATCTATATCCTGGATACTTGTCAATGCTTCTATACTACTTGTTTCAATCAAATTCTTTCGTAATTTATTCAAAATATCGGTACCATCTTCCTGTAAGACAGAAAAATGAATAAATAACCTGAAGGCTTAGTAAGATCGATCACTTTGAAATATTTTAAAATATTTATAATTAAAATTGAACTGGTAACAAAATAAACGAAATATTTAACAAACCCCTTTAGAGAGATATTTCTGACGTTCTTGATACCAAATGATTTCGGCATCACTTGGTGCATTTGAACGAACAAAAGTTGACAGAAAAATAAGGATAGTTGAAAATTTTTCAGCGAGCTTTAAGTAAACTTCTTCATTGTGATGTGTAAATTTCTTTAATTCAATAATAAGAACTTCAAGAGCCTGTAAGAATAAAAAAAAATAATAGAAGATGCGGAAAGAAAAAAAAAAATTCAAAATCCCTAGAATATATTCTATAAATTTCTTTGAGATGCAATGGAAAAATAAAAAATAATCAGAAATAAAAATATAGAATAAAAACCTCATAATCGTATGGACATAGCGATGTAACACACTTGCAAAGACGATAAAAAATATCTTCAACATGACCAAGTTGCTATAAAATTGAAAAAAATGAAAATGATCGAAATTTTGAAAATAAATATTTGCGAGCGAGTAAAAATAAAGCATAAAAAATATAAATATGTGAATATATAAATATATAAATATGAAATAAGAAAATAAAACATAAATAAAATATAAGAATATATATATAAAGAAATCATACAATATTAAAAAACAAAAGTTAAAAAAAATTACTAAAAAAGCGTGAGATGCCATTCGCAACATTTCATTGGCAATGCGACGTTCTCTTTCCAAACAACTCTGAGTCAGCATTTGCATCGCATACTGTATAGTAGCTTCTGAACAATCCAATTCAAAAGTTGTACAATATCTAAAATTAATGATTTGCAATTAAGAGGAAATAAAATAATGGCATCGCGAGAATAATTTTTTAATAATAATTTTTAATAATAATAAATAATAATAATTTAAGACTGTTTCTTTTTATTCTAGCAAGATATATTCAAGTAAAAAATAGGCGTATAATTAAAAAGGAAAGGGAAAAGAGAAAAAAAATGCAAAGACAAAAAATACAACCACATATATTATTGAATTATCGAACTTACTCAATAAGAATTTCAACAGTAATCCTTGCCTTGACGAATTCGTGAATAATGGAAGAAAGAGGCTCATTAGGCAATAAAGAAAGACCCATTTTATTTAATCTCTTCGCCCAAATATTCAATGCATAATGCCGCTAAATTTGAAATTAATTTGAATTTTAATGACAGAAGTATTTTTAAAAAATTTTAAATAGCATATTAGCATATTATGTGCTAAATCGCTAAACTTACATTAATTACATTAATTTCTTCACTACGAGACCAATTCTGATTGGAATGATTTGAAAGAACAATATTGCTAAATTGATAAAGCTGAAGGAAATAAACAGAAATGTTAGGAACTTTGCGAAAGGCAACCCATCTTTTAATCTTTTCCAATGCCTGAATTTCGAAAAATTAGTTCGTTAATGAACTATATTCAAATGACAAAATAGATTTTTCATTTTTTTGCCCAAAAAATATACCACCGACCCACTTAATCTGCTCCTCCGGAAGAGTAAATAGTGCGGCTGTGCAAAGCCATAAGTCTGCTGGATTCTGAGATAAAAGTCGCTCGATAAAACATACTACCGTGTTTTTCAAATTATCGACCAACATATCGCGATGATTAATAAAGCATGCTGAGTTAATCATAGTTCATTTTTGATATTTATTACAATTAATTATATAGTCAATTAAAAATAAAAAGTAAAAAGGCAGTGCATTCCACATTTTGAATTTTTTTCCTAGTGCTAATGAAATTTTTAATGAAAGTGATTTAAAGTGATGAGTGGATATGAATGAAAAAGATGAATCTTCCCCTGCCAAAATTTCTGAAATCTTTAAATCTAAAATCTAAACTCGCCAGGAAAATCGTAGTAAACTAACGCATTCTGGCAGCACACGAGCGCGCACTGAATTCTAGAAGAAACTGATTGTTTAAATTCAAAAATCCAAACAAAGATTGCCAATTTTGACGCAGTAAATTGTTAAATTCATCCATTTCTTCAATTCTAAAAGTTCAAATTTCCGTTATATTAAAGAGAAAAAATAAAAATCTTTAATGTTTTCATGAAAACAAGAACTGCTGAAAAAAATCTTAAGATCAATAATGATGAAAAATAAAAAAAAAATTCACAGAATCGGTGGATTAACAACAGTTGATCGAGAAACTGCTACTATAGCACGAATAGCAGCGACTTTATCAAATATAGTTCCATCAGATTTTGAAGTGTATGTCCCAATTCGCTTATGTATACCATATATTTCAGAGTTCCAAAAATTTACTGTTCTGTGAAAACAATTCGATAATGTAAAAAATTAATTGGATATGGATTTAATTTTATTACATTTGACGTATTCTTACTCTAGATAAAAAGCAAATTTCTTAAGCTTATGAATGGATTCACTTATCTACCTTGACTAATATTACCTAGCATATTATTTAAATTCTAGTGTTCAAAAATTAAAATATAATTATATTTACTTGTCACTTGCGTTAGGATCTTTTTCGTTTGGTAAATATTGTATATTGTCCTTCACAAGGCATTGATCAATAATTTCGCATGAAAATTGAACAAAGCATGCCATCTATAATTCAACAACCTTTAACGTATTATAGAGATTTTGTAGAGATATTAATATTATTATCAATATTATTTTTTATATTATTAAGAGTTCTCACCATTACTGGTTAACTCGCTCAACTGGCTTGTCGTATTGGGCAATATGGCAAGGAATTCCTTGGCGATAGAAATATAGATGAGCCGTCAGCACCACCCGGATTTTTATACAGGTTTATTCTTACGGGGAATCGAACCTCAGCATCGATGCTCCCAATTGAGCAACAAACCACTGAGCCATTATTACCATTACTAGCAATATTAGACACTAATGAAATTTTTTTCAGTATTTCAGTATTTTTCTCAAAAATCTGAGTAATAAAATTTCATAACAGCCTATTTTTATATAAAAATAAAATTAAAAGTAAATTCACAGGATTTTTAGCATATAACCACGAAAAATTAGCAAATTCTAATCGCTAAGAATTGAATTCAAATTCGAATAGCCAGTTAGATTATCACAGGATCATAAAAAGGCAATGTTGAAGTAGAAATACAAAAAAAAAACTCGCAAAAAATAAAAAATCACCATATTCGCTCTTTCGTAATGTTGAAATGACAAAGAAGATTTATCCACTATTATTGGTAGTAAATTTGATAACATTTCCAGCAATACGATAATCTAAAATTTTCAGTAAAAAGGAAAAATTTTACTAATTATAATTTAGGAAATCTGAATTTATTAAATAATATTTCAGAATTCTTAATCAGAATTAAATAATATTTCAGAACAAAAACAGGCATCTAATAGATTTCATATATTTTAATACCAAAGAACTGCAAAAATAACACAGAAATATTACCGTATCTAAGTTTGATTCAGTATTCACACTAGGCATTATCCATAAAGCATATTCACAGCTTTTTAAAGCAATCTTAATAAATTTTTCGCAAGGCTGAGGATCAAAAATTAATAAAGACCTGAAAATAAGGAGAAATAAGAAAGTTTAAAGAAAAAATTTCGCAATCTTCATGAAATTTCAAAGCTCTTTTTCGCAAATTTCAAAAATTTTACTTAATAAAATTCTTTTATTTTTTTAAGCTTCCAAAAATTTGAAAAATTTTAACATCATCAACACTCTCACAGATCTCTTGATATGTCATGATTGCATCATAAAAGAGAATAAAAAAGATTATGAACTGAGCAGCATGAATAGCAACTGTAGGATTTTCAAGTTCAACAGATCGTTCAACCAGCAATTTCGTCATTTTTTTATCGTCAACAGCCAATGCCCTTGAATAATCCAAAATCTGAAACCAAAAAAATTACAAAAAAAATTTTTAAAGTAAAAAATTTATAAAAAGATAAAAAAGACTCAAAAATTTCATTTTATTTATCTAATTTAATTTTTGATTCAATATATATGAAAAAATTTAAACCTCAGTCCACTTTAACATGCTTTCTGAATTCAGTTTTGAATCGATGAACTGTTTCAACATTTCTAATTTTTGTTCTTCATTTTCTAGTAAGTGACAATCGATAAAAACTGAGAATTTTTCCTGCATATTACGCATTGCTCGAAGGTTTCTTTTCATTTGATCGCCATTCTATATAGAAAATTAAAATAGATTCAGTGAAAAATTCTCAGAAAATAAGCATTTCACGAATATTTTAATAAAAAATAAAAAGAATTTTATGAAAATGCACTATAGTCCATATGAATCAAGATTTTCAAAAATCAATATTCATATAATGAAATTTAAAAAGTGCAAAATATTCATTAAAATTTTTTTCTAAATTTTCAGATTGTTAATTGAAACTTCAACTTCTCAAATTTTTTTCATAATACTAGTTTAATCGACGAATATAAATGGAGTAAATAGCCTACGAATGAGGAAAAATTTTATTATACCTCGACAAACTTTTCCAATATGCACAGTGCAGCACTAATATATTTCAATCTGATCTCTTTTTGTATCTAGAATAAATATTTCATAATTAATTAAAGCGAAGACTAGCGAATTCGTAAAAAAACTAAAAGAATTTGTAGAATTTAAATATATTAATATAGGTTTCCGTGTTTAAAAATTAATACAATGGCTAACATCATATATAAAAAGATTTTTCGTGTTGGTTGCTTCATGGACATAAAGTAAAAAATCATCGATAATAGTATTCCTTTCTGATTCGTTTATATTACCGAGGCATCGAATTATTTCGTTAAGCTGAAATTTGGAAAAAAAAAGAAGAGTATTTAATTCATACATTTATTTTTCTCGGAATTTCCATTAGTTATTTTTCAAATATTTCTATGAAGCTAAATCAATTTTCACTATGAATATATTAAAATTTAAGCAGTTTCCATATTTTACAAAATATATAATTTGAATAAAATAAGTTTAGAACAAAAAATATTTTTAATGTGCAGTTATAACTTCAATTATCGCATTATAGATATATTAATATAAAATTGATTTATGAGAAACTGAAACTGAATTTCTTTTCAATTTTTTTTAACTGAAGACAAACCATTTCGTCTTCTTTGACATCTTTGATAAGGTAAACACAAAAATAAACAATACAGTGTTTGCGATCCATCAAATTATTTTTAATTTTAGTTGCCATATCAACCATCTGAAAATTTCTTCACTGATATGAATACCATCTCGCTAAAAAACTGATATCTTTAACCTTAAGTACGTCGTTTAGCCTCTTCTGTGGATCAGGTTCGATCGTAGTTTGCTTAAGGATATACTGGACACCTGACAAAAAAAACCGTGGGCTTGTAAGGTACTTATCAATAGCCGCCATCGGCACCATATATTTCATCATCATTTCAGCTAAATGCGCGAAATGGCACTGATATTGAAGTTTTTTTATCCTAAAAATTTCAAATTGGTATTTCAACTAAAAATACTAATTTGAAAAAATTATAAAATTTCAATGGATAACAACAAAGTATTGACAAAAAAAATTATTTAAGCTCAAATCTAATTAAAGCAAACAGTTTAGAGTCGATATTTGATTCGTTCAATAATATTTCCACAGCATTCGACAAGTGCCGAGTCCATGGAGGATATGCACGCTTACAAATTCCAATCACTGCTTCACAACGCAAAGCACGACAGTTTATTGTTTCAGCAACAGCTAAACATTGCTCATCCCAAGGATTCGTGTTAGCGACTACTCCAGTATAACGATCAGCGATCGCCTTAATATAATTCCAACAGAAGTGAATAAATAATTAAATAAAAAGAAGTAAAGATCTGGTTAAAATCAACAGAACTCTCTCAAATATTTTACAAAAATAATATACGATATCTAATTTATTAAAAAATGATTGAAAAATATTACTAGTATGTAGCTATAAAGAGTTTTGTCGGCATGTAATTTATATTCATTCATGAAAGGCTTTGCATATTGCTCTATTTCCTTTTTGATTAATTCCACACTTCGGGCTCGATCTAGTATCATGTAACATATTGATTGACTATTTTGTTCCTAGAATTAATCTGACCATTAGCTTCCTTATCGTTTTCCATATGAAAATCTGAGAAAATGGAAATCTTTTATATTTAAAGGGATAAAAATTTATGAACCTTGAAAGGTATTTAAAGTTATGCATGCTTAAATTTGGAATAATATATCGGATTACCTAAATTTAAACATAATACATATAATTTTATGATAAACATTACTGAACTAACATATTCACGCTTACCAAGTACTGGTCATAACTCATAGAACAAAGATAAATACGTTTTAATTTTTCCATTTCACGGAGATTATTTATCATAATATTTAATGCACCCAAATCATCGTTAGGATCCATTGAATCTATCTTCATAAGTGAAAAAATGTGAGCAGTAGTTGCCTAAAACGTTTCTCAATCGAAAAATTCAAGCCATTTAATCATCAATCATTCAAAAAATGAGCACCACTTTGAAATTTATAACAAAGGAAAAAACCATTTTAAACGAACTTTCTGGCCTGGCGTAACGGAATACTTTATCATGTATTCTGAAACTCGTATAATAGTTGAAGCCACTTTTAAAACATTATTTGGGAATTCCGTAGGTTGATCCATTTCGAGCTTATTACATATTGTACGAAGCCAATGAATACATCTTTTTAATCTTTGAGCAGTATTCATCAACAAAGCTATAGGTATGACTTCATTTTCAAGTAAACATAAAACATCCCAAATAATAGTAATTTTCACTGAAAATTTTCACATCAAAAGAATCAAAATGGAAAAAAAATAAAAAATTATAAAAATGGAAATAAAAAAATAATATTGGTGAATACAAAATAAAAAGATAGCTAAATTTCTGGCACGAAAAATTATTCGTAGAAACTAAAGGGTACGACAAAAGAGAAAATCCATGCCACGAAAGAATACAAAAAAACTTAAAAATAAAATTATCTACTATGGAAACATTCAACCTATATAGTTTTATATATCATGTAATGGCACACATTTCTTCAGAAATTGTTTGTTTATTGTTCATAACATAGAAACATGAAATGAAAAAATACCTGCTAATGGGTCATTACAAGCTTCAAGAATTTTCCTAAAAGCATCATCTGAATCATGCTCAGTGACAATCCAGACTTCCAAAACATTACGATAGCGACTCCATATAAGGCGGGCTTCAGCGAAATTACCTTGCGAACAAAAATGTAAAAAAATCTCAACCCAAGATAAATCTCCAACGAATTCCAGCCAATCTGAGTCATGATCATAAAGCGCCTGAAATTATCGAAATTTCCTCCTTAATAAAATTTCGATCATATAGATTTAAAGTCCGCTGATGTAAATGAAAAAATAATGGAAAGAAAAATGATGGACTGAATACCATAGAGCCACTAGAACAAAAAAGAACTTGGGCTGTTTTTTATTCAGAAATATTTGTGAAAAAAAGTTAAAAAAACAATTGAAAAATGCCTTTTCTGGCCCATAAATCATCCGATATGTTGCCAAATTATACCGTAGTCGAATTAATTTTCGAAGAGTTTCTTCATCTGAAAATAAAAATAGAAGCTTAAAAGGGTATTTTTATAATGAATTCGAGAAATGATAACATAAAAACGCAAATGCAATAAAAATTACCAGAAATTTCGCGATTTTCAGCATAAGTAAGCAATTTCAACACTGCGTTAAAATCACGACCAATTGTAGCACCAGATATACACGTCTCACCGATCTATTTTTTACATTAACAGTAATTAATAAAGTTAATGAATTTAAAAGTCGATTTGATTTAATTGAATATATTGAATGTATTCAGTTATCTACTGACTATTGAACGAACTCAAACGAACTCCAAACCATTAATTTATCTTATCCAAATTCGTCTCATAATGCTTTGTTAACGAAATTAAAAACAAAAAAGAAATAGGAAATAGAAATAGAAATATAAATTTTTCAATATGTTCTATGTTCTATTAATAGGGAATTTTTCAATATGTTCTACTAAAACACAAAGAAATTAACCCAATTGTGGTCACTTATTTCATCCATGTACACCATCAGCAAATCAACATTTGTCGAGACTAATTTTGATAGCAGACGTGTTACTCGACTTTTATGAATTTCCTAAAAAACAACTTAATTGATTTTTTTTGTAAATAATGACTATGCTATTATATGTATAATGAATAATAAATAAATATATACTGAAATAGATATTTACTTGCAAATCAAGCTTAAATTTCTTAGCAAATAATTCAGCTTCGTCAAACTGAGAACGGTTCAATAAACGATTAAGCCTTATCTGAGGCTGACATTCTGCAACTGAACGCAAGAAAACCAAGCCAGTACTAGAAACAGTTAAAATGATTAACAAAAATTTCTGTCTCAAGGCCAAATAAAATTCATGATTCATAATGTTGATGTTGACAGATTCATTTTTATATGCATTTATAAGATTTTGACTTGCTTGGAATTTATTCCATATTCAAAGAACACAATTATATCACCATCTTCTGTAGCAATACTAAGCAGTTGACTATTTGTGCTAATTGATGTCGCATATATCATTTCGGTCGTATCAATTCGATGCACTTGCAGCTATAAAGAGAGTTGAAAACTAACATAAAATATTACTCTTGAAAATATTTATATTTGCAAATATTGAACTTATATCGAAAAAGGGATACCTTTGTATTTTCGCTATCTTCAACGAGAATAGCAATCTTGCAATTTGCTAAAGAACTTTTTGATTGACCCAAAAGAATAAAATCCTTTACGAATTCTTTCTCAGAAATCATTTTTCTTTCCGCATATTTCATCATTGTCCATAAATCATATAACACAAGCCAACCATCTTGCGTTATTGCAATAGCTGAATGTCCATCATCACATAACTGTATTCGCACGAAAAGCCGACCATCTTAAAGCAATAACTGATTTTTTTAACTCAAGCATTTTTTTTTTCGGTAAAATGAACTATGAAAGGCATTTCATGCATAATACAAAATCGACACTATATCGACACAGATAGTAGGTAGACTTAATATTTCCGAAAATATTACTACTTTCTTAGCATTAACAATTAACAATTGGTAGTCAAAAAGTACCAGATAAATCAATTGGAGCAAACAAGCCATTTTTGTGACTTGATTCAGCCATATAATCGATGATGGGAGATATTAGAGGAGAACCTGGTTTTGTCGTCACCTAAATTCAATCAAATTGCTAAAATGTTTCTATTATGTAGCGAAACCAAATATTTTCATTGACAGAGTCATCATAAAATATTTGATAACGATATTTTTTTCCTTAATCTCACATAACACACCATTTTTTACTTTTTTAATTAGTGCTTTAAAAAAATAGAGCTTTCATGCCGATAAAATAATAAAATTACTAAGAGTAGAAGCTGCTGATCAGAAAGTATAACCAAATTTCTACAAGGATGTTCACATTGTAGTCGGAACACAGGAAAATCGTCAAACGTCTGGAACGATTAAAATAAACTATATTCCATTAGTACCATTCATTTATTTCAAAAAAATGCTAATTTGAAAAATTTAAATTTTAAAATATATATGGCAATGGTAATCTTATAGACCAGTGAGCAAATAATATGCTGAAAACAATAAAAAGGTATCAAGATAAGGATAAGGATAGATATAAAAAAAGACTAATGAACAGGAAAGAGCCAAAAACTCAAAAAACTCCTCAAAAATTCTCGTTAAAGTTGCATGGTGACAAATAACAACTAAATACAAGAAATATAAGTTTGATATAAAAAAATTTTGTATAAATTTCTTAAAATAACCTTCTGAATGGCTGAATTAAGACTATTTTTATCGCAAGCGCCAATCCATTTGGTGTATTCCTCTAGAATCACTGTTAAAAGTCCTCCCCTTTCAGATAAAATACTTATGTAACATTTATCCTGATTTTTTGAGCCACAAATAAAAATGACCTTGTTCTCTTGAACAATTTTCTAAAATAAAAAAAAATTCTTCTGTCGGCATTAAAAAATTATGCGAATATTAATTAATGGCTTTTGTTCAGAACAACAAAGGAAATTATTCTCTTTACATCTGACTAACTTTTGAATTCAAAATAAAAACAGTGGTAATAGTGTTAAATAGTGTTTAATAAAAAGTGTTCTCAAATGGTGATATTTAAAAAAGAATTCAACGAATTGAAAAATTTTAATGCGAGAAAGTACCGTTTTAAAAATAAGCTTTTGCCAAAAGGCATTGAAAATAAGAAGTATTCCTTCAGAAGTGACCGCTGCCATAAGATCAGAACTTGGTAAAAAGCATAAAGCATTTATTTCAATACCATCTGAAACTCATTTTGCCAAATTATGGATACTATTAATAATATTTATTGAGGTTCTTATAGCTATATAAAAAATTACATACCTCCTAAATGAATAGTAACGAGATATGAAATTCCAAATCGAAAACTGAAAAAAGACAGATCTTCTCCGACTGCAATGGCCAAGAAATCGTTATTTGATGCAGCGATTATATATGGCATATCTGAAGCGCATTTTGCAGGATCAATTAAAGCATCAAAATGCATTGTTTCATCATCTTCCCTATCGTCCTCTTCATTTTCCTCTAAAAATTTAATAAATTTAATTAATTTAACTATACTCAAGGATGCAATTCATGCCGCTAATGCGTTAATTATAATCAAAAGTAACAAAAATTAAAAAGTACAATTAATCTTTAAAAAAGTATATTTATAAGTATATAAAATATATAAAAGTAATTAGTTAAAAATAAGTATAATTAATCATTAAAAAAAGATAAAAGGATAAGTGAATTTTAAAAATATGAACTTCTAATTCATCCAGTATTTATAGCCTTTAAAAATCCAACACAACACAACTATATACAACACAACTAGCTATATACAACACAACTAGCTTGTTTTTTCTAATCTTGTTTACTCATTTTATTTTTCACTTCATTTTTTTTTTTAACTCAACATCCATCCTTCTTGTAAGAGAATAATGACTGGAATGCAATCATTATTTTTTAAAAATAAAAAATTTTTTATAAATTCTTTTTATGAAAACTTTAAATCTTTAACAATTTTTAAAATTTAAAAAAATTTTAAAAACACAAAAAAGAATAAAAAGAAACCTTTTATAATTGCGATTGTATTTGTCTCATATAGATAGTCTGGAGAACTGAACTCATCTCTCATATCAAAAACGCTTTCTTCATCCGAGGAAAAATTTAAATTAACGTTCGTAAAACGACCCATCTGAAAAAAAAGTGAATTAAAAACCATCTAAACATTAGAATATCTATTAGCAAAGAATTAAAAAGTTTGCGCAGCACAAAGACGAAATATTAATTGAAATAAATTCATTAATTAAAAATGATATGAAAAAGTTCAAAAGAATATAAAATCAATTAGCAAAATTTTTAGCAATATTTCAAAAATAACCCAATTTGACTTAAATTCCTAAAGTAAACTATATATGTAAAACAGCGAAAATTAATAGTTTCTAAGGTTTACAATGAAGAAATCCAAATTTAGCACTACTGATGCGAGCTTAATTGACATAACAGCGCCACTAACCAACCAAGCGATTAACAACAATGCTATTTTCTCTGATCGAATTTTAAACTTAAATTGAATTTTAAACTCAGAAAATGGATGAAACAATTTAAACTACAATAAATCTAAAATTCTAGAATTATACTGGAACGAGCCGATAATAACCATAGGATAATTCGTCAAAACAGATGGATATTTGCAATTAATAACGTTGTGGCTTCAAAAGGACTCGAACACTGCATGTCATTTGCATGATTTAAATGCCACTGTAGCACTGAATCTTTTCTTTAGCCTATTTCCGAACATTCTTAGAAATCAATGCCGAGCACAACGTATTTCCATAAAATCAAAAATAAGCATTTAGCCAAATGCTTTCTCTGATTCTTCTGAATGCGAACTGCAAAAAACATAGTCACATACAGTGATATCTATCACCGTCACGCTATTTTTTCGAATAACAGATTTCGATTGATGATCAATAATGAAATTAATACAATTATAAATGTCTTTTTTTTGTTTTTAAAAATCCCCACCATTACTGGTTGAAGTTGATCCGCTGGCTTATCGCATTGGACAAATATGCCGGGGGTGAGTCGCCAGCATCACCAGGGTTTTTGGATAGGTTTACTCCTGCAAGGAATCAAACCTCAGCATCGACGCTGCGAATTAATAAAATAGCTAAAGAACAACCAACAAGCACTATTAAATTATACAAATTTCCCAACTATTTCCCTACTTAACCTATATATTTTTTAATTTATTTTGAATTTTTTAAAAAATCTTTTAAATATAAATTTTTTTCATTTCGTTTCGACTTTGTTATTCTTATTATTTTGTGGAAGAAAAGAACAATAAAAAAAGGAAGTTTCGCGGAATTTTGAAAAATTCATCAAAACTTCCCCATTTGAAATTTGCAAATTAATAATTTTTTAAATTTTCAAACTAACCAATTAATAAATTTAATTATAAAAATTAATTATAAATTTAATTAAAATTTAATTATAAATTTTACTAAAATTTAATAAATTAATGAAATAAATTATAAATTTCAAGAAAAATAAACCATTATAAATAATATAACAAATTAAAAAGCAAACAATCATAATAAATAAATAAAATTAAAATAAAACAATAATAGTAAGTAATATAAAAGTAAAAATAGAAATGATGGAATAGCAATAAACAAAGTAAAATAACGAAAAGAAAAGAAAAGCAAAGCAGTCCGAAAGCCTAAAAAATTATCAAAAATCCAAAAAAAATTTGGTAAAATAAAATTTCGAATTTTGGTTTAATTTTCCCTCCTTTTTTGAATCGTTTCAGGACCCGTGATTTAAAATTAAATTAATAACAGCTAAACATTATTAGCAAATACAGTGAAAAATACTTTGAAATTACCAGTTAAGAAATTTTTAAGTAAGCAAAAAAACTTGTGAAATGAAAATGAAATTATTATCAGCAAAAATATTAATGAATAATATAACATAAAAAAGTAAATAATAATGATGCAGCTAATAATAATTCCTTCTAATAATTCCCTTCACCATTTCTCATTTTAGCGATTTTCGCTTGCTAAGTGGATGAGAAGCCAATTTCCTGTAGAACTGTAATTCAACGGCCTTCCCTTCTGATAAGAATTGCAACGTAAATTGTTAAAGTAAAAATAAATAAAAAATCAACAATAAAAACAAGAAAAGAAAATTCGCAGAATTCTATAATTCACTTTCTATTATATATTTTTTTTAAGATTAAAATAAATAAAAATAATAAAATAAAATAAAGAAAATAAAGTAAAAATTTTTGAAATTGTAATTTATCCGTTTGCCATTTTAATGCGATGCGATGCAATTCGTCTATTCCAAAGCGGTTATAAATATCTTCCAAGTAAATCGGAGGATATTACTGCAATTTCCAATTTCTAATTCCGATGGCTTAAATTAAAAAATATATATACTATATATATATATATATATATAAAATTAAAAATGAGGAAAACGAATCAATTTTCATGGATATTTTCGAAATTCCCTAAAATTCCCCCTCAGATTTCGTACACGAATAGTTATAATTGTATAACATGCGGTGAAAAAGTGGAAACATTTGCCTATTTGCCAGCAAGGGAATAAAAAGAAAATATGCATTTCGAGTCGATCGTGCATTCCTATAAATGGAATTTCAAACTTCCTATAGTAATTTCGAGTTACAGGCATAATATCCAAACTAACTAACTGTAATTATAATCTTCTTCTTCTTCTAACAGCTCTCACCATTACTGGTTAGGCTGGCTCCAACGGCTACAAGGGTAAGACGCTTCAAAGCGGCGCGGTCTGATGCCATCGTCGACAGTAATGGAAGCCATTCCTTTTTCCATCGTCTAAGTCCATATATTGCTGGTCCACCTATACGTTCAAAATCTTTTCTCACCGTATCAGTCCAGGTCTTGATTGGCCCACCTCGCTTTTGACGCAGTTACACGGTTTAGCAAATAACGAAATATCCGTCAACTCGCGTGGTGGACGACGGAGAATGTGCCCTAATCAGCGAAAGCGGCGTTCAGTGATAACATTTATGCAAGTGGTATTTGAACGAAGGTGGATGCAATTAGTGAGATTTTATCCACTCGGCGAACCTTAGACAAGAGTGGTCAAAGGCAGATAACTTCTTAATATCCTCCACTCTCATTGGCCATGTCTCAGAACCATATAATAAGATCGAACGGATCATGGCAATATAGATGCGGACCTTCGTTTTTATGGTGATTTCACGACGATTCCATAAAGGTTTCGTCAACCGGAAGAAAGCATTTCTAGCTGCCGTGATCCGAGTTATAATATCATCTTTTGCCTGTCCATTTGGTATTAGAGTGGACCCAAGGTATTTAAAATCGGGCACTTCCTTAACCGGCAATGAATTTATAAAAAGAGGCTTTTAATTATAATATTTAAATCTAAGATTATTAAATATTTAAGACTGTAATTATAATATTCAAATCTTTTTCCTATTATTTCGTACAACTATAAGTTAACCTTCGCCTAAGCCTCGGTCTAAACATTGGCCCAATCCCATGCCATGGCTGGAGCCTTGGTCAAGCCTAGGCTCAAGCGAAAGCCTATAACCAAGCCTGAGGGGAAGTCCAAGTTCAAGCCAAAGGCTAAAATTTTATAACTTTACAAGAAAACAATTGCAAAACAAGTTAGAGTGTTTCATAGAAATCTTTAGAGGATAATATGCCAAAAAATAAACTCCAAGAATAATGCTATTGAAAAAAGTCGTCGTCATTATCATTCTTTTCAAGTTCCAATTAATCTGCTGAAGTTCTAAAAATTGGTATCGTTTGGCTAATAAATTTCTTTCACAACGATGTACTTTATATTTTCTTATATTTTCGTAACTTAATTCAGCAAACTTTTTTTAGATTTAATTTACTTAAATTTAACATAAATGTAATATTATAATCATTTTTATCATGAATAATCAATTATCAATTGTATAAGAATGTGTTTAAAATAAATTTATAATGATGAAGAACTGAAAATGCAATGAAAAATAAAAAACTTAATATATACCAATGGTATCATAAATCTGTTGGAAAAGATGTCAATCACGTTAATATGGCGTGGTTTCGCCATGGTTCTGTCAAGAAACGTTATCAGATGAAGGGACAAGGCACAATCAATCCGTCGTTAAAATAGAGCGACAAAAGAGCGAAAAAAGCGACATAATAGCGACAACTGACCAATGGCAATTTTTCTTCTATTATGCTCAAAAGAAGCCTCGTTTCCTTTTTATTTAGCCATAAACTCGATTTTGTACAGGTTTTTGGGAAATATAAGGCACAAAATTAACTCGGTTGTTGCTCACCACATTATCCTTAATAATTTCCTCGATCGTCGAACGGCTTAGTATTGCTATTTTTGGAGCAATATGGAATATGCTGAGGATCTATTTCTCGTAAATAAACTTGAGATAAACTTGTTGAAAAATTCGAGTGACTCAGGCCATTCACATCTACTTCCATTCTCATTGGTTTTCTTGAAATATTGAATGTAACTAGTCAGCGAGGCACTAATCATTCGTGAAAGCTACTGTGCTATAATCGAAACCATTGCTTTATCATATTTAATCGTAACTAAAATAGAATTGTTAATGCAATTTTCAAAC